GTTTCTGCTAAAACTGATTTTGGGAGGCTGTTAGGTGAAGTTAGATTAGGTCAGGTTATGTTGATTGAAAGATATTTGTAACTAACATAACCTGACCTAACTTTACCTAACCGCCTCCCAAAATCAGTTTCAGCAGAATGCGGAGAAATGATAATTCACAGTTTCTGGTAGGTGCACAGAAAGTAGGTACTGAGATAACAGGAAAGTACCCCTGTTTGTTTATTCTTCCCAAGACTGTACGATGTTATGCGACTTTTCCTGTTTGGGAAAACACAAATAATGATTCGTTGTTCGGAGAATTGCTTTTACTTGGACATGTAGAGCAAGGTTCCGTCGTGGAACATCCACAGGTAGTGATTTGGAACAGTGATTTCGTGGAAAGTCACTTGCTTGGCATTCTTGAAAAACACGTCAGGTCTCCACAAGGAGTCGAGCCAGTTGACGTCCAAGATTCTGTACTCTGAGTCGATTTTCTTGTGGAATCTTAGCCGTCTGTCTTGCCAGCTCTGTGCTAGGAAAATATCTGTTGCATATGTCTGCAAAAAAAAAAGAGAGAAAGTGAGGGATTACTTTGTTGTCGGAAAATAGTTAATTTTGATGTTTTACAACTTCCAAGTCAGACGTCTCTAAATCTTTAGATTGTGTAAACTTACCGTTGCAAGTTTAGTCTTAACTAACTCCAACAATGTATTGTGAGGAGATTTTCTTTATTCCTGTTGCCGGGTTTGGTAAAATCAATAACTCCTCAGTTATAAAGTACCAGTCAGTTTTATTCCGTATTCAACAAGCAGAAACGTACTCGAACAAACTTCAGACAGCAATGAGCAACCAACAGAAAACAGTCAGCCATATAGATTTGGACGCTATGAATTAGGCAATAGTGGTCAGACCCAGATCTGACCTTATTTTGGGTGAGGGTTGTGTGACCCCGAGGCGCGTGACTCAACAGAGATCATGCAGCAAGGTCATGAGATAGGCGACACGACATTTGGAGCGTCGTCTGCTAGGTGAAAGGGAATGTAGCAAAGTTAGTGATGACAACTTTTTGTTTTATTTTACAGGAAGCAAAAAGTGCTGTCAGACTTCAATTAGATCTTCAGAAATCTGAATAATTCAAGATGTCTCCTGAATCCTCATACAATATTTAATATCACATTATTGTATTGTACAGTATTTGACCTAGGAAGGTTTTAGTCATCAAAGTTCAACTGTATTTTAATTTGTATCACGGCACTATTGAATTCATGGCTTATTACCTATTGTGAACCAAATTGAGGGTTTCATTTGCCAAAAAATTGCAAAAACCCTGTCAGTCAGTCAGTCAGTCAGTCAATCAATCAATCAATCAATCAATCAATCAATCAAACATATAATAAACAACACCAAAAGGAGTTTTGCACCTAGAGGCTCAACTGTATTCTAGTTTTTCATCACGGCACAATTAAATTCATGGTTTACTCAGAATTTTACTTGAAGAAAAATTGCAAAACCTCGTCAGTCAGTCAGTCAATCAAGTTACAGCTATAAAAAAACCACCAAAAAGAGTTCCTCACCGCGAGGCTCAATTGTATCTTAATTTTTATCACGGCACAAATGAGTTCACGGGTTATAACCTAGTGTGAACCGAATTGAGGGTTTCATTTGCCAAAAAATTGCAAAAATCCCCGTTCGTCAGTCAATGAATTTAAAACTAGAAAAACCACCAAAAAGAGTTCCTCACCGCGAGGCTCAACTGTATCTTAATTTTTATCACGGCACAATTGAATTCATGGGTTATAACCTAGTGTGAACCGAATTGAGGGGTTCATTTGCCCAAAACATTGCGAAAACCCCATTCGTCAATCAGTGAATTTACAGCTAGAAAAACCACCAAAAAGNTCACGGCACAATTGAATTCATGGGTTATAACCTAGTGTGAACCGAATTGAGGGGTTCATTTGCCCAAAACATTGCGAAAACCCCATTCGTCAATCAGTGAATTTACAGCTAGAAAAACCACCAAAAAGAGTTCCTCACCGCGAGGCTCGAAACTGTATCTTAATTTTTATCACGGTACAATTAAATTTTTTGGTTTACTCAAAGTGAACGAAATTGAGCGTTTCATTTGTCAAAAAATTTCAAAAAACCCGTCAGTCAAACAGTCAATCATTTTACATCTAAAAAAAAAAAAAAGAACACCAAAAGGAGATCTTCACCTCGAGGCACAACTCTATCTTGATTTTTAATCACGGCACAATTGAATTCATGAATTACCAAGGGTGAACCAAATTGGGGGTTTCAGTTGCCCAAAAAATTGCGAAAAAACCCAGTCAGTCAATCAATTTATATCTAAAAAAAAAAACACCAAAAGGAGTTCCTTACCTCGAGGCTCAACTGTATCTTAATTTTTTATCACGCCAAAATTAAATTCATGACTCACCTGAGGTGAACCAAATTGAGGGTTTCATTTGCCGAAAATTGCAACAAAAAAAACCCCGTTCGTCAGTCAATGAATTTACAGCTAGAAAAAAAAACACGTAGAAAAAGGATTTTCTCACCATGGATTCCTCGTCAATGGAGTCAATGGTCAGCACGGTGACGTGGAAACTGACGATGGTTGGACTGCCCGGGGGTCGGTGTTGATCATAGGTCGCATCCTCTGGCAAAATGTCATGCAGAGCCAAAGACCGCCGCGAATCTCGTGTGTAACCACTGCGAACGATTTGTGCCCTACGTTTATATGCACGCAATTTTATTTTAACCTTTGTGGTTTTTTTTTTAAATCATCGAAACTATAAATTTCTCACCTCAGCGCTGGCAACACGCAGGATAAGCAGCACAGTGTTCCGAAAAAAGCGTGCGAATTTCTCATTGCAAATTTTGAAGGTGATGAAGAGGGGGGATAAAGCGTGAGCGAATTTGTCAGTCAGTTTTCGCTCATGTGGTGTGATGATGATGATGGTGGACTGGGAAGTTGTACAAGTGCTTTCGCCTTCAGTTGAGTGGAAGAGCTCAGGTGGAGTTGGGGAGAAGCCATATATACAATACAGTAATGTACTTTGAGTGTGAACATTGATTTCTTTGTGCTCTGGTATTCATTTTTGTTTGTTTGTTACATCCCTCATGGTTATGGTCTTTTTATGCAGTGACACCTTGATATGCGGACACCCCAACAAATGGACAATTCAACTTTGGGACACTTGAAAACAAACAAAAATCAGGCCCAAAATTTGGACATTGGCTTGAGTTAGGGAAATTTTCCCAAAAAATCAAAACAGTTTACAGTAAGACCCCCAGATGTGGACATAATGGGTGCATCAAGAGTGTCCCTAAGTTGAATTGTCCCTAAGTCAAGTCTTGTTTTCCCATAGACTTACATTATATAATTTTTAATTGGTGTTTGAATGAATGAATGATGAATGAACAAATGATGAATGAACAGAAAACTTTATTTGCCGCTTTTCAGCGTTCACAAGGGATAACCAGAACTCCCGCATTCAAACCCCCTCCCCACCCAACCCAACTCCCCCAAAAACATTCAATCATTTCAAAGCATGAAACAAAGCACAAACAAATGACAAAAATAAAAGAGAACACACTCCACAAAATAAAACTGGACATCCTACACGTATGTTGCATACACCCACCCATCCCCAATATTGAAGACAAAGCAGCAGTAAAAGTTTATTTAAAGCACA